TAGGTGTTCAGGCTGACGTAGAACTAACTGGCCTGCAGAAGATAACGGAAAACCCCCACATATTTTAAGAAAGGATTTTTTTTTTAAATAGAAATTTTCTACATTTTGGGAAAATATGGCCTGATAAAAAGAACGTTCATATACATATTTAAGCCAGAATGATTTGACATTTAAATCCGATTTCCCTATGACTTTAACAGGTAAAAAGAAAAGGTCAAAAGCTAACTGACACTCTCAGAGTGTTTTTCTTAGTTTTTCTTTATTTTCTTGTTATTACATTGAAATTAAGTATTCCACTGATTGCCCTATAAAGGGTTAATGAAAGTCATTTATTGTTGTCTGTTATAGTGCTGAAGTATGCAGCCATGTTACCAGACCATTCAAGGTTCAAGGAGTCTTTGTTGTTCCTGTTGAGCAATATGTGGCGCAGCCAGCAGTAAAAAACAAACACTCACTGAGTCAACAATAAATTATAATATTAGTAATATATATTTGAAGGGAAACCAATTATTTCTGTCTGTAATTCATTGATTTACAACTAAAGGTCGACATTTGTGCCGTATTTTCTCTGTGATTGGAAACAAAAGTTTTTTTAAATTTTTGTTCTGAATGCCGTCGCTCTTGCATGTGTGCGTCACCTGTGGCAGTGATCCGTGCCTCCTCTGTGATCTGCTCCAGCCTGCCCAGCAAAGCCTCGATGTTGCTTTTGATCTGAGTCAGCTCCGACTTGATGGCCTGCAGCTCTGTTCCTTTCATGGCTGCTGCAGACAAACAAGGGAAGAAGAACAAATAAAATGGCTGGAATAAAATAAACAATGAGCCACTTTACACATTTACTGTAGAGGACACATTCTCTATTATCCTAAATTATTAGGATATAATTTATCCCTGACCAAAGCCTTGTAAAGAATCCAACAGCAGACACAACAGTTTAGTTAATCTGCATTGTTTGTACAGCTGTTGCTTTACCTACTTTATCTCCATTAGAAATTAGAAGCTTTTAATGTCTGGCAGGAATCCGGTCATTAAGAAACTGGAAAAATCATCTTGATCAGTAAAACATGGGAAGTTACCATCTTTTGAAAAGATTGTTTTGTGATTTTATTTCTTGAAGATGCTGATATATTTTCATAAGTCTAGTTCTGGATACTAAAGCATAAAAACGCCTTTATAAAAATAAAACTTAAAGGAAATGTAGTTTAAAGCTTCATTTATTTATCTTCCATTAACACAAAGGGATTTGTGTTTACTTAAAACTAATTAATTATATATATATATATATATATATATATATACACTGCTCAAAAAAATAAAGGAACTCTTTGAAAACACATCAGATCTCAATGTGGCAAAAAATCCTGCTGTTTATTTATCCTGATATGAACTGGGTGATGTGTTAGGAACAAAGGATGCCACATCATTTGGTGGAAATGAAAATGATCAACCTACAGAGGGCTGAATTCAAAGTCACCTCAAAACTTATAGTGAAAAAATGATGCAGCAGGCTAGTCCATTTTGCTGAAATTTCATTGCAGCAACTCAAAATGGTATTCAGTCATCTGTATGGCCCCCACATGCATGTATGCATGCTGACAACTTCGGTGCACGCTCCTAATGAGACGACGGATGGCGTCCTGGGGTATCTCCTCACAGATCTGGACCAGGGCATCACTGAGCTCCTGGACAGTCTGAGGTGCAACCTGGCGGCGTGGGATGGATGGAAACATAATGTCCCAGAGGTGTTCTATTGGATTTAGGTCAGGCTAGCGTGGGGGGGCAATCAATGGTATCAATTCCTTCATCCTCCAGGAACTGCCTGCATACTCTCGCCACAT